GTTGTTCAACACTCACCTATGAGTGAGAACATACGGTGCTTGGCTTTCGGTTCTTGGGTCAGTTTGCTGAGAATGATGGTTTCCAGATTCATCCAAGTCCCTACAAAGGACATGAACTCATCATTTTTTATGGCTGCGTAGTATTCCATGGTGTATATGTACCACATTTTCTTTGTCCAGTCTGTCATTGATGGGCATTTGGGTTGGTTCCAGGTCTTTGCTATAGTACGCAGGGCTGCAATGAACATATGCGTGCATGTGTCTTTATAGTAGAACGATTTATAGTTCTTTGGGTATATACCCGATAGTGGGATTGCTGAGTCAAATGGAATTTCTACTTTTAGATCCTTGAGAAATCGCCACACTGTCTTCCACAATGGTTGAACTAATTTACACTCCCACCAACTGTGTAAGAGTGTTCCTATTTCTTGCAAATCCACATTAATTTTCAGTGAGATTTGGAAATTTCTTTATCAAGTAATTCAAGGAAAGAGTATATTAAACTATATCTTTTTAAATTTTATTTTTGACAAGCAACCATTATATGTATCTATGAGGTACAGTGAGGTGTTTTGATGATGTTTACATTGTGGAATGATTAAATCAAGCTAATTAACACATCTATCACCTCATTTACTTATCATTTTTTGTGGTGAAAGCATTTAAAATCTAGTCTTTTTAGCAATTTTGAAATACATATTGCATTATTGTTTATTATTGTCACCATTCTGTACAATAGATGACTGAAGCTTCTTCCTCTGTCAGCTGAAACTCTGTGCTCTTTGATCACTAACTCCTCCTCCTCTACCCACCCCTTCCCCGGGCCTCCGGTAACCACCATTCTACTCTCTACTTCTATGAGTTCAACTTCTTTAGATTTCACATAGAACTGAGATCATGCAGTATGTATCTTTCTGTGTCTGGCTTATTTCACTTGGCCTAATGTTCTCCAGGTTCATTCATATTGAAGCAAATAACAGGATTTTCCTCATTTTAAAGGCTAAATTATATTCCATTGTGTATATATACCATATTTTCTTTATCCATTCATCTGATGTTGGACATTAAGGTTGCTTCCATATTTTAACTTGTGAATAACATTCCAGTGAACATAGGAGTGGAAATATCTCTTGGGTATAGGAATTTCAATTCCTTTGGATATACGTCCGATATGATCATCCTACTTTTAGTTTCTGAGGAACTCCCACACTGTTTTCCATAATGGCTGTATTAATTTACTTTCCCACCAACAGTGTGCAGGAGTTCACTTTTTTCCACACCTGCATCAAATTATTATCTTTTATCTTTTTGATAATAATGTTCTAACAAATTTGTGATGATATTCCATTGTGGTTTTAATTTGCATTTCCCTGATGATTAGTGATGACCAGAACTTTTAAAATCCTCATTTGTCCATTTGTAGGTGTTTTCTGAGAAGTGTCTATTTAGGTCCTTTGCTAATTTTTTGATTGTGATATTTATTTTCTTGTTAATGAGTTGTTTGTGTTTCTTATATATCTTCTATGTTAGCTTCTTATCTGATGTATGGTTTGCAGATATTTTCTCCAAGTCCTTGGGTTGTCTCTTTGCTCTATCAATTGTTTCCTTTGCTGTGCAGAAACTTTTTAGTTTGATGCAATTCCATTTGTTTGTTTTTGCTTTTGTTGCCTGTGCTTTCGGAATCATATCTAAGAAATCTTTGCCCAGACCAATATTCAGGAGCATTTTTCTTATGTCCCTTCATAGATTCACAGACTCAGGTCTCATGTTTACATCTTTAATTCATCTTGAATTGATTTTTGCATATGGTGTGAGGTAGGGTACAATTTCACTTGTTGATATCCAGTTTTCCCAATACCATTAATTGAAGAAGTGATCTTTTCTCCATTGTGTGTTCTTAGCACTTTTGTCAGAACTCAATAGACCATAATGTGTGGATTCATTTCTGGGCTGTCCTGTTCTGTTGGTTAATGTGTCTGTTTCTATGCCAGTGGTATGCTGTTTTGATCTATAGCTAGGTAATGGATTTTGAAGTCAGGTAGTGCAATGCCTCCAGCTTTGTTATTTTTGCCCAAGATTCTTTTGGTTATTTGAGATCTTTTGTGCTTCTGTACACATTTTAGGATTTTTTTTCTTTGCTGTGAAAAATGACTTTGAAATTTTGATAGGGATTGAATCTCTACATCACTTTGGGTAGTATGGGCATTTTAACAATATTAAATCCCAATCCATGAAAACAAAAACATTTCCATTTCCAATCATTCAATCCATAATGATGTTTCAGTTACTCTACAATGTACTGCATAGATCACAGTGGCTCATAAGATTATAATGAAGCTGAAAAATTCCTATTTCCTAGTGATATCTTGATGGTCCTGACCCTTTGCGGCCCTTGGCTAATGTGTGTATGCGTGTGTATGTGTGTGTGTGTGTGTGTGTGTGTGTCTCCTAGTTTTTAAGAAAAAAGTTTAAAAAAGTAAAACAATTAAAAAATTTAAAAATTGAAAAAAACCTTATAGAATAAGTATATAAAGAAAGAAAATATTTTTGTACAGTTGTATAATGTGTTTGTATTTTACATGATTATCACAAAAGTAAAAAAGTTAAATAAAAAATTTTATGAAGTAAAAATG